GGATCTTTATCCTCTGCCTTTCCATTCTTTGGAGAAATGTGTTGCTTTTGTTTGTATTGTTGGTGGTGGTGGTGGGGGGTGGTGGTCATGGTGGTAATCGCAGCCCTACAGCAAGCTCTATGCGCTTTACAACAATTATTATTATCCCAACCGACCAAAAACACTTAACAATGTTTTCGGTTTTCCCGGAAACATAATAATAATTATACCGCAAGCAGCCGATTGGGCACTCAAACTCTAACAAACTGACAAGATTTCACAACCGCATTGCAATCCCACCCCTACCCATAGTAATTAATTAATTAATTAATTAACTAATTAATTAATGACAAAACACGTGACAGATAGCTGACCTTTGATTGGTGCAGAGGGTTGGCCCCCTCCCTGAGCAGTGCCCTCAGCACACTGAGTCGTCCGTACCGGGCCGTCACGTGCAGCGCCGTCTCGCCGTTCTGAGAGAGGATGGGACAGGTCAAAGGTTAATTAATGTCAACCTGATTGAGATTATACTTCATGACTCTCACCGAGGATACTGGAATTTTGGTAGCCTCGACCCCCACCTAGGTTAATTGTAAATGTATAAGTAATTAGATTAGTAAAAGTGCCGGCAGCTTTGAATGTTTCGTACGCCCCAACTGAGATAGTTTTGTTTGGCCATTTTTAGGTTTAGGTTGTGGGCTGTAGCGTAAAGAGCTTTCTCGCCGTTCTCAACAAGACAGAAAGTGAATTGTTACTGTTACTGCCATTTGTAAATTATGTCGGTGCAAATGTTTCACATCCCTATCGACGTGATTTAGTTAATTCAGGAGGCAGTTTGTCACGTTGACTGCTGCCTCTCCGTTTTCAGCAGAAAACGAGTTTAATGTTTATTGTAATTGTAACTGTGATTGTAATAATAACTGTTATACTGTGTTATAGTGAATGCAATTGTGGCTAAAAACTGAGATTAATGTAAAAATAATTATCATAATTTCAGTTTTTACTCCCAATTACATTTACAATAACATAGACAATCATAGCTACAAGGCTGCTGGGTTGTTGTTGTTTTTTTCATGCTAATGAACATGTTTATTGTAATTGGAATTGTGGACTACAGGTAATCATTAATGTAATTAAAATTGTATTGATGGTTATTGTAACTGGAATTACGAATGTTTTACATTCATGTAAGTATGCATTGAACCTATCAAACTATTTTATGACGAGGACTAGTAAAGTGATAATTTCTTTACTTGTGTGTGTGTGTGTGTTGTGTGTGTGTGTGTGTGTGTGTGTGTGTGTGTGTGTGTGTGTGTGTGTGTGCATGCCTGTGTATATGCACAAATCTTTCATCGCTCTTCAAAAGAAAATAGGCTTTTGGTCTCTAATAACTGTAACTTTGGTTGCCACACTACTTGCATTGAGAATTCAGCAAATGAGGAAAAACGAATTTTATTAATAGTATTTTCAAGAAGCAAGAAGGTCATCTTGCATATAGAAATCAAAATGACAAGTGATACTAGAATTTTCTCCCTTTTTTTTCTTCTCATTATTCATGGTTTGTTAACTGCTGATTTTGCTCCCTGGGTAAGATAACAATAATTTGAGACATATAGTCTCCTGGAGATGAGAAACTCCTTCCTTTTGCCTGTTGATTTCTCTGAAATAGATTTTGTAGCTTTGTACTTGCTTGTTCAACTATTTTTAATTTCACTCAAAAATGAATATTCTGTTTTATTTTTTAATTATATTTTCAAAAACCTAGCGGCCAAGATTTGACCTTGAAGCTGAGTACTTTGTGCGCATGTACCGTGCTGAGTGTTCGGTGTTGAGACATCACACGGCCCTGGTGAAGACCATTCTGGATAAACAGATTGAGAGCCAGAGGGAGTTCACTCAGCGAGTCACCAGAGAGGGAGATCACGAGTTTGGATTGCCTAACAGGATCATTCCCAAGCAGCCAATTGCTGTGAATCTTAGTAGGTGAGTAGGTCAATATTTTGTGTAGAAAAGTGCTGTTGAGGTACTTGCACCACGTTCACGTGTAAGAACACACAGGAGTGCACACATGTACACATGCAAGCACAAACAGTTGCACGCACACACAGAGATGCATGCTTACATGAGTGGGGGTCAACAGTAGATGCATACCTGTAGAGAGACAGGGATACTCGATGAAGTAGTTTTCTCATGCAGAAGTGGAACTCTGCTCTTCTATTTCTTACCACTATTAATCAATAAGTGGATTAAAAGTGATGAAAGTCAGTCCTGTTTGGGTTTTTGTGTGTGTGTGTTGTGGGGGGGG